GCAAAAACGATTCTTTTATTGCAACACACGCTTTATTACATTGGCCTGGAACCAGACCCACGTCTCTGAGGTATGCTTGTATAGCATTTAACTATTTAAAATGCTCCACTTGTTTCCCTTAAAGACCCAAATCCTCAAGTTTGCCTAAATGGTCTTGCAGCAGCAATTTTTCCTGATCTCCTCAGCTTCACAAAAGCTATTTTTAATCTTTTGTATACTCCCTGCGCCTCCTTATTTCCCCTTGAGGTGTCAGCTAAATCAACTTCTTTTTGTCACACGTGTACCAAGTTCTTTAGAGTTAAGAGCCTTCTCATGGACTCTTCGTCCTTGAAGACTTCTATCCTCGAATCTGTCAAGTTAACTCAAATTCACTCCTCAAATTTTACCTCTAAAATTTTTTTGTTAACCCTCACCTGAGAATATTTTTCCATTGCTTTTTCGAGTGGAAGGGAGGGAGGGAAAGAGGGGAGGTAAAAAGAAAGAAAGAGCCAAAACCGGTTTGGCTCAGTGGATAGAGCGTCGGCCTGCGGACTGAAGGGTCCTGGGTTCGATTCCGGGCAAGGGCATATACCTTGGTTGCGGGCACATCCCCGGTAGGGGGTGTGCAAGAAGCAGCTGATCGATGTTTCTCTCTCATCGATGTTTCTATCTATCTCTCTCTCTTCCTCTCTGTAAAAAATCAATATAATATATTAAAAAAAAAAAAAAAAAAAGAAAGAAAGAAAGAAGCATCAAACACTTGGGGGTTGCCTCCCTCATACACCCTAGAAATTGAACCTGCAACTTAGGTATGTGCCTTTGACAGGGAATCAAACCTGTGATCCCTCAGTGCTCAGGCCTACATTCTAACCACTGAACCACATCTGCCCAGGACAAATTTTACTTTAAAAAAAATGTTAGTATTAAAAATATTAGCATTTTATTTAGTTTAGCACAATATACTTAAAATACTATCATGATATCATGTAACCAACAACCAACACAAGAACTCAAATTTTACCTTGAATGCCACTTCCTCAGAGATCTCAGAGAGCAGAGTTGAGGCGTGGTATAATTCTACAGAGTTGGACAGACCCATCCACTCACCCACAGATATGCAAACTGATCCATCCAGGCGATTGTTTCCATTTCATTTCAAGGTTTACTACCTCTTACCAGCCGCCACAGGCTAAGTGAAGCAGCTCCTCTACTGCTCAGGTATCCATTCCCCTGTGTCTAAGAGGAGGGTGTAGTGGTGAAGGCTTTAAACCCACCTGGAAACCTTACTTCCACCTCAGGTTGCGCAATAGTAAGAATCTGGAAAACCTGCCATTCTCTGGGAATGAAATGGCCAATTCAAGCCAACAATGACTTGATCACTGACGGACACGCCCCCACCTTTGCTCAAGATTTCTTCCCGCCCTCCACCTCATTCAGAGCCATTGCGCAGGCGCATGTCCATTACCTACCCACCTCTGGGAGCAGGGGAGGCCTCCAATCAACGCAAGGCAGTCCAAGTGTGCTCCCCGACTAGAAACACACCCATCCCGGGTGGTTGGGTCTCAGTCCTGTGTTGCACTGGATTCCAGCACAGTCTCATCCCTGAGCCATCATTTCCTGGTAAGCAGGGGCCTGCAGAACCAGGCCACGAGGGGCCTGGTGGGGTTTGGCTGAGCACATCCTAAAAGGTACTGGGCGCCAGACCTCCAAGTCATGGCTGGCCCACGCGAGGGTCTCCTGGGTCCGGCAAAGATCTTGTGAAATCGACCATTCCCAGACCTGTGGGGTCAGAATGCGGGCAGTAGAATCAGAATGTGGGGTGTGGAATCAGAACATTTGATTAACACTTAATTAGTCAAGAAGATTTTGATCTGAACAATAATTTGAGAATTGCCTTGTTATCTCCAAAGAATGACTGTGTCTGGCGGAGAAAAGTAGGGGAGGAGAGAGGACAAGTGGGAGGGAGGTGAAGGGAGTAGTAGCCACCATTGGAGAACCCACTGCCCTACATTGCCTACACCTCTTGGCCAATGTAAACACCCCTTAGTCCTCCCCAAGAACTTACAGTGAAGAATCATCAATACAAATGTACAGAGGAGCTCATTCAGGCTCAAGCAAGTCAAGAATCATCCCGTATGACAATGAGTGAAACTGAGGGCTAGCAATCTACCAGTTTTTTTGTGTTTAAGTTTTGGGCAGTGGTTCACAAAGGAAGGTTCAAAGGCTTCACCTGGGGACTTTTGAGAAGTACTATGCACCAACTGAATCCAACTGAATTGGCTGGGGGTGTTGTGGCCCAGCAACCTTTTAACCAGACCTACCCGTAACAGACAAGCTAAGGTTTGAGTACAACTTCCTTCAAGGACCAGGGGAATGTTTTAAGCTGGAATATAAAAAGATTACCGTATTTTTCGGACCATAAGATGCTCCAGACCATAAGACGCACCAGTTTTTAGAGAAGGGAAATGAAGAAAAAAAGATTCTGAAACAAATAGTGTCCTAAAATATTTTCTGTGCATTAAAACCCAACATCACAGTCATAAACACATGTAATCAACCCTGTAAAGTAAACAGCAGCATTTAGAACCATTTTAGAGCCGGGCAAGCACACAGAGACCACACAGAGCCGGGCAAGTAAAAAAACTTTTTTTTTAAAGTATATGTGTAGGCTATATTTGGACCATAAGACGCAGGGACTTTTTCCCCCCACTTCTGGGGGGGAAAAAAGTGCGTCTTATGGTCCAGAAAATACGGTATATTCGCATTCAGGAAGATCAGTTTAGCCAGAGTTAGGCCATTGATTGGAGGCGCCGTTGTGTTTTAGGGTAGAAAAGGGGCTCTCGCTGTAATGGTGGAAAGCTTGAACTAGAATGGTAGCACCTGCCTTTGAAACTAGTAGTTGTGCTCACTTCATGGTCTATTTTGTTAATGGCCTGACTTACGAAAAGGAGGGAAGACCAGTGAGCCAGCCGGTTGTGACCCAATGGTATCTATGTGATGCCTTTGAATGGGAGCTTGGGAAATGGAGGGTACAATTTGATACTTGGAGTGAATATCTACTATGTTCCTTAGCACCGGAATCCTTTTTTTTTGTGTGTGTGTGTGTGTGGGGGGGGGTGTGGATTACATACTTTCTTAACAGTTACATCATTTTTTCTTTTGATTTCAGTTTTCCCATTATGCTCTGCAATTGACTAGCTGCGTGATAGTGGGTACGTTTCATAAAACATCTTTCAGCCTCTATTTTCTAATCTCTGACTACTCTATGCAACCTCACTTCCAATGTAAAAAGTAAACTTCATTCTAGAAGAGTTATGGATTTACAGAAGAGTTGTAAAGATAGTACAGAGAGCTTCCATAACCACCCCCCCTATCCCCACCCACACACACAGTTTTCCTTATTATTATATCTTCTAATTGTATGGCACATTGTCACAGCTAATGGACCAGTACTGATACATTGTCAGTAACTGAAATCCATATTTCACTCAGATTTCCTAGCTTTTCACTTATGCCTTCCAAAATCCCACTGAGCACTTTACATTTAGTTGTCATGTTTCATTATGCTCTTTCTCACTTACCTTGTTTTTTATGATCTTGACAGTGTTGAGGAGTATTTTGTAGAATGCCCCTCTATTTGGGGAGAGGGGTGTTTTTCTCATAGTTATGCTAAGGTTGTGGTTTTTGAGGAGGAAGACCACAAGAGGTAAAGTACTTTTCTCATCACATCATATTAAGGGAGCATATTATCAACATGACTTTAAAATATATATATTTAAAAAATAAATAAAAAAAATATTTTTTTTATTGATTTCAAGCAGGGAAGAGATAGAAACATCAATCAGATGACAGAGAACCATTGATCAGCTGCCTCCTGCACACACAACCACCTCTGGGGACTGAGTCTGCAACCTGGACATATGCCCTGACCAGGAATCTAACCATGACCTCGTAGTTCATAGATTGACTCTCAACCACTGATACCCAACAGCTGGGTTCAAGATGACTTTTCACTGTTGATCTTGACCTTGATCACCTGGCTGTGGTAGTGTTTGTCTTTTCAAACATTCCCCTTAAGAAGGAAGTTGCTAGGTGCAGCCCACTCAAAGAGTGGAGAAAATTCAAAGTTTTTAGCCTGGTTTGTGTGCCCATCTTTCTTAAGATGTATACCTGCTGCATACATCTGAGAGACCCAGGAAAACTGGGTCCAAAATAACTGGAAACAAAGATGATGTGTGACAGTGGGTAGGGGAGGCTGGGGGAAGGTCTATGGGTGGGGGGGGGGGGGGAAGGAGAGAAGGATATATGTATTGTACTACTATATGTAATACTTAAACAATAAAATGAAATTTTTAAAAAAGGCGATGGGAAGGAGGTGGGGGGGTCAGTGATACCATAAAAGGTATAGCAGGGAGGGGGAAGCACTATAAATTTGGATAAGATCGTTGTGCAGATTTAACTCATTGTCTTCTGCACTGATAAAAATCCCTAGAGCTAAAGTCATCCTGGTCCAGCCCAGGGAGACACATCTACAAATGAAGGCTTCCCTTACAAATGTAAATACCTTTCACAAAGAGTAACTTATTTTGTTTTCTGAACTTTTAAGTGTACTCTTAAAATTAACTAGCCTGCAATAATCCTTATGCCAAAGAGGCATATTTTGGGGTGACAAGTTCTGTTCCTCTACAGCTTCTAGACTATAGATTGTACAACATGTTTACTATACTGAATACTTTAGGCAGTTGTGACACAATGGTATTTATGTAATGCCTTGTGCTACGGCACTAGGAAATTTTCTGCTCCATTGTAATCTTATGGGACCACCATAATGCAGGGGTGTTGGAGGGGGTGGTGGTGGCAAAAGTAAGTTTATAGTTGTTCTTAAGGGAAATAATACAATAATAAATAAGAATACAAAAATAAAGTTTCACATACAACTATAAACCTATTTTTGCCCTACCCTGTTTGTGCAGTCCTTCATTGATCAAAATGTTGTAAAGATTAAAAATCACCAAAGCCACCAAAACCGGTTTGGCTCAGTGGATAGAGCGTCTGTCTGCGGACTGAAGGGTCCCAGGTTCGATTCCAGTCAAGGGCATGTACATTGGTTGCGGGCACATCCCCATGGGGAGTGTGCAAAAGGCAGTTGGTCGGTGTTTCTCATCAACGTTTCTAGCTCTCTATCCCTCTCCCTTCCTCTCTGTAAAAAATCAATAAAATATATTTTTAAAAAAAAACTTAAAAAAAAATCACCAAAGCCTTAGTACCCATCATTACAAATAGTGTGGGCAAGTAGGGAGACTGATTTAGCAGAGACTTAAGGCTTTATTTGGTGTAGTTCTGTGTTGGTATTTAGTAAAAGCTGAGTGTATTTTAACATTCTGAAACTTCCCTTGATATGTAAGTAAATTCACATATATGTAATGTGTAATGTAAAAAAAAGTATAAATTTTATTGTATAACTGGATTTAGCTAGATTTCTTAGAGCTTTTTAGGTTTTCTGAGATAGTCTTTTTTTTAAAAACAAATTGATTTTAGAGAGGAATAGAAGAGGGGGAGAGAGACAGACACATCAATGACGAGAGAGAATTATTGATTGGCTGCTTCCTGCATGCCACCTACTGAGAATCAAGCCTGAAACCCTGGAATCGAACCTGGGACCTTTCAGTCTGCAGGCCAAGGCTCTATTCCTTGAGTCAAATCAGTTAGGGTGAGATAGTTTTACAATACTTTTTATTGTACATGTGTTAAATGGCAGCACTATGTATTCAAATTATTGTAGACTCAAATTTTACAGCTCTAATTGAGGATGGTATCTCCTGACTTATAAGGTTGTTCTAAGAGCTTAATTGAATTAGTGACTGTATGAAAGATTTGTCTTTAGTGTATCACATATTAAAAAAAAAAAAAATCTTTTGATCTGAGTCTCCCAAAGGAGTAAAACTTAGTCCCAAGAAAGAAGTGAGGAAAGGATAAGCAATGTGGTTTATGAATAGGAAGAATAGCATGACACAAAATGAAAATAAGGTTGATGAAAAATAATAACAACCAAGTACTTCAGAGGACCATAACCAGATGAAGATGATAAGCTATAAAGGACTCCGAATGGTTAGCTGAGGATGGAGCACTTTATCCTGCCTCTTGGTAACTGACAGACTTAAATAAGAGGAAAGAGTTAATTAGTTAAAAAGTGAAGGCTTAAAATGTGAATTAAATAATATCAAAAAGCAATAGAGATATATAAAACTTAAAGTAGCTTATAAAAATATATACTACATTTAAAAAAAATGAGAGAGTCTGTAGGACAGGTGGAGGCAGGTGACTATTCTAAACAACATTTAAGAGCACTAATCAAATGCAATGTATGGGTGATATTTGAGTCCGTAATTAAATCTAAAATAGCTCTTCATTGGCAAAGAACAACAATAGGCATGTATTAACTGGCATTTGTACGATATCCTTATTTTAAAAAGGTTTAATCTCCATTTTGTAGGTTAAAGAAATGTTCATTCAAAAATTCATTTTCTGAAAAATACTCAGTAAATATCAGGGATTCCCTATCTTTTTACTAATGTTAGCCCTTACGTTGTGAAACACTGCCTCCTGTCGTATGTTGTTATAATAGCTTCTATTGATGGAGATTTTATAAACTATTGCATTTTTCCTATTCTGCTGGTAGGAAGAGAAAATCTGTATAGTAAAAGAAATTGCTAAGTCATCAAGACAAAGCCAAATGTCAAAGGCATACCCATATTATTGGGTTATGAGGAAAGAGAGAGGAAAAGCAAAAACTGAGAAAGTGTTAGTGTGAGAAGGGAAAAAATACTGTGTTAATGGTTAGGTGGCTCAGAAAACTTGGAGGAATTTGAACCAGGACATTTTCTCCCTAACTTTTTATGCTGAAAATTTTGAACCTACAGGAAAGTTGAATGGATTGCAGTAAACATAGATATGCCTGTGTATACCTTTTGGCAATATTTACCAATTGTATCTTTTTTGCTATATAGTTGCTTTTTCTCTATTTATACAATAAGTTCTCACTTAATGTTATTGATAGGTTCTGGAATTTAAAGCAAAATGATATACAATAAAACTAGTTTTACCATAGATATTTTTAAAAAAAGAATTAAGTTCCTGTGGCATCTCATCAACATTATAACAATACAACATTGAACAAAATAATGTTATTCAAGGACCTGCTATATACATATTTCTTTTTAAATAAGCCTTTATTGTTCAGATTATTACAATTGTTCCTATTTTTTCTCCCCATAGCTCCCCTCCACCTGGTTCCTACCCTACCTTGTGCCACCTCACCCCATTGTCCTCATCCATAGGTGTTCAATTTTTGTCCAGTCTCTTCCCAACAACCACCTACCTCCCAGAATTGTGAGTTCACTCCCTTTCTATGCCCCTGATCTTCTTACCTAATAATAGTCAAACATGTAAATTGACCGTACCTCCCCTAAGCCCACAGAGTGAGTATGCAAATTAACCCAACAAAAATGGAAGTTAATTTGCATATGTAGGCACCCATTGGCTTGGGTCCCGAGAACATCCTCGGTACCCTAGTCACTCAAAGGTAGGCCCCTCAAGGACCTTGAGCAGCCTATGAAGGACCTGAGCCAGGGGGCCCTGGGCAGGGCCAAGCTGACAATCCAAACAAGGGGGCCCCTATCTAAGCTTAATGCCTTGGCCAGAAGTTTTAGGTTTGGGCAGGGGCAGAGCCAGAGATTGGAGGGAGGTGGGAAGCCCCTGCTAAGGTCACGAGGCTTTAGGCCTGGCCAGGGGCCTAGCCACAGATTGGTGTGAAGTACAGAGGAAACACCTTTTCTGACCGCTCATTGTCTAAGTTCCCTGTATGCCACTGGTAATATTCTTAGTAACTTGGGTAATAAGAATTCAAAAAGGTGATCTAGGGTTTTTCTACCACACTCCTAGAGAACAAAAAGAAGGTCTGTTGCTGAAGGGCTAGGAAATGTCATATCCTGCCCTAGCCGGTTTGGCTCAGTGGATAACTGGTGACCGCAGGGTCTGGGTTCAATTCTGATCAAGGGTATGTACCTAGGTTACAGGCTCCTCCCTGGTTAGGACCCAGGTCAGGAGTCGTGCAGGCAACCAATCAAAGTGTTCCTCTCACTTTGATATTTCTCTCTCTCCCTTTCTCTTCCACATTCTCTAAAAATCAATGGAAACATATCCTCGGGTGAGGATAAAAAATGAAAGAAAGAAAGAAATGTCATATTCTATGAAAGACACATCTTGAAATTGCCTAAAGAAAGTTGTCATTTTTTTCATGGTGAAGGGACTGGAGTCCATGTTGACGAAAACACCTTGGTGGCTGTGGTGGCTGGCAGTGGCTGCAGCAGCGGGGTGATGGTGTTGCAGAAGACCAAAGAAATACCAAGCATTCTTTCTATAGAAAGGGAGGGACCCTATTTATTAACATTAGTGGACTCCGGGAATAATTTCCAAATCAGAGTGAAGAGACACAGAGGGCTTCACTTTTTATAACCTTCTGGGGTCTTTGTCTTGCAGATATGGTTCCCTGGGCATACGGGAAGACCACTTACTATTATTAACAGTATTAAAGATGTCTCCCATTCCCCCCATCCCATATATTTCTTAAGTAAAAGGACTTTTTTATTTCTTACCTATAATAATTAATATGATAAATTAAAAACAATACTTTTGTAATATATCTGTACTAAAATTCTCATATTTGACCCCAAAATGTTTAACTTTTTAAGATCCCAGGTTAGGCTGAGACCGGTTTGGCTCAATGGATAGACCATCGGCTTGGGGACTGAAGGGTCTCGGGTTCGATTCCGGTCAAGGGCATGTACCTTGGTTGCGGGCATATCCCCAGTAGGGGGTGTGCAAGAGGCAGCTGATCGATGACTCTCTCTCATCAATGTTTCTAGCTCTCTATCTCTCTCCTTTCTTCTCTGTACAAAATCAATAAAATATATATTTTTTTAAAAAGATCCCAGGTTAAATGTGCACATTTCATTTGTAATAGCTTTATAGCCTTAAATCTAGAACTTCTTTAAGATGATTGAGATGGAATATTTTAGGCAAGAATACTTTATAGACAATGCTATTTATTTAATATTGCATCATATCAGGAAGCAAAGAAAGTCTGTTTAATATTTTTGTTGTTTTTTTTGTTAATAAGGAATGTGTGAAGTTTACAATTATCAATTCCTGTTTTTCATTTACAATGATTTTATCATTCATTGGTGATTCTTATGTGAATGATTTAATACATTGGTGATTGTGGGATCATATTTTTTAATTTAATGTCTTTTCTCATCCATAGGAAGGATTCCTGTCTTAGACCAAAGTCTACTTTCTCGAAGAAAGTCATTAAGCTTGACTTCATATCATTGAATGAGAAGAGTAGCAGTCCAGCCAATATGTTCTAAAACACAAAAGTGGTTATACTTGGTGCAGCTTGTGGTGCATACTTGGCAAAAGCTAAGGGGCTGAGGGATAAACAAGTTAGAAGATGCTATCACTATGCCAAGCCAGTGAAACCAAGCTTGTCAGTTCGTGAGGTCTGCGGTGGGGATATCCACTGCTGTCTGTGTCTTGAAGCTAAAGCCAGGCCTTACTAAAGGACACATTACCTTTATCCACCACCACCTTTGTTTACAGTTCAATGGAGTTTGAAACAGCACTGGCAAACTTTCAAGAAGGGGCTAGATGTCCTGTCTGTTTGGACTACTTGAAAAACCCAGTGACCATTTATTGTGGTCATAACTTCTGTCTCTCCTGCCTCAATGTGTTCTGGAAGGATCGAACTAATATATTCCCTTGCCCCATTTGCCGATTTTGCTGTCTAGAAAGGAAATTTGCAAGCAACCCCTTGCTGGGAAATTTGACTGAAATTGCCAAGCTACTCCAGGTAAGAAGAAGCAAGAGAAAGGGAAAAGAAGAGTTTTTATGTAAAAAGCACAATCAGATTTTGAATTTTTTCTGTGAAAAGGACTTAGAGGTTTTATGTTCACAGTGTGTCTCCAGTGATCACCAGGGTCATAACATTTGGCCCATAGAACAAGCTGTC